GCAATGACAACACCATTTGGAGGAAGATTGTTAACAGTGTTCATATTACTCCTGATCGCAGTAACTATAAGCATTGCTATAAAGCATAAAGTCATGAGAATATTCGAAAGTCCCCATATAAAACCAGCCCCCCACTTGCGACAGAGCTTCTCCATAAATAGTGAAGTAATCCCAAGCATCACTGAGTTCAACATTAGACCCAGTGAACCCATTCTGACTCCAATGCTATAATTAGACCCTTCATTTGGCTCGCCACCATATATTTCACGACCCATCCAGTCTGTATCGTAAAGAGTAAATGGAAACCAGCCAATCCAAGTCAGAGAAGTTACAACCAGGATCGTCCAAACAGTACCTGGTAGATACCTAAAAGTTCCAAACAACTCCCATAAAAAAGCTTCATTCTCTTGAGAAGAATTCTGGGATCCTCCTTCACCAAAATTAGGGGAATTGTTGATTGCATTTAAGGACTGCTCATGCGCTGCAGTCAAGCTTATACATGTAGTGATGACAATGAAAATAATGTCAAGAACGAATGCAGACTTGAGATTAGCACAGTTAACACTGCAGGCAGGAGTGAGGGTGAAGGGAAAAATCTTGAACCAGTTGCTGAAAGATCCAGTGGCATATCCAAGGACGTTACCAACAGCCATATATAGGGAAAAGTACGCATTTGCTACTCGATTTCTCCTGTGATCCTTTCCTATACAATAAAATGGAAAATGAAAATGGTCAAACTTTTGAGGGTTAGTTCATAGGAAAAAAATAAATTCATGAAATGACATTCTAACAAGCATTTTCTGTGAAGAATATTAACCATAAATGTATTGATTTATTTGTTGAGGTTATGTTACATTTTTGAAGTGGTATAGAGAATCAGGCCGGCTCCCCTATTAGTTCTTGCATCATCCATCATGATGGCTTATTTTAATAAATTTTTTTCGGAGACTGACAAAAAAATTTCTTAACTAACGTCTGCATTTTCCAGTTCTCTGTTTTAGAAACTTTTCATCCGTTATGGCAGATTATGATGCCTGGAGTTGAAAATAAAAGAATTACAGACTCATAAATATAGAGGGATGACTCATAAGAATGGATACAAAATATGATGTAACCTAAGAGTGAAATGTCAACTTCTACATTTGAATTTTCTTATCTCCTAATTGTATTAAACTGTAGGAAGCTTAAATAATAAGAGAAACTATAAAAGAATCTCTTTCCTCTTCAAGCTTTCCATACATTTTTGTCTTTTAATCATATTCCAAACATAACTCCATTATTTTTTCTAGTTTATCATTTTCCAAACGGACTAAAAAAAACTTTTACTAGTTTTTATTTGTCTATTAGAGACTTCTACTAAAATAAAAGGTTAGCAATATAAGTGCTTAATCTTGAAGATTGAGGACCAAAGTGCAACACATGTCTAATGGTAGGGACATCTCCTGCTATTTTCCCTAAAAACACACATTTAAAACTCAACTGTCAGCTCCAAAAATCTCCCTTCCCCACATGAAGGTGATATCCATTTCTTATCAACTTAAGAAACACAAACGAAAAGGAAAATAGAACAGAATACAAAACAAATAGATTCACCAGGGTCATACAGAAAATAGGTTTCCAAATACATTTCCATTAAGATTAATAGGGAGAAAAACCGAATAACCAACTTCTAACAAAAGTTACAAAAGAAAAAAGTTCTGTGAAATTTTCACCACAAATTAAAAATGAGTGACATGGTAAATCCCGATCCAGTCTCTGAGGGACAGTTGAAGACGATGAATGCTGCCTCGGAGAACGAGCCAGTAACTTGAACATGTTCGATCTTGTTATATCTCAAAGTTAGGTGACCATTTTAACTGTTTCTCCAACAAATTAAGAAACGCAAACTTGTAGATAATAGGCATAAATCTGAGTTGACTATGATTACAATCTATGCATCAAAAAATTTTAATTCAAAAATTGTATGTAATCCTGTAAATACATCTTTATAGTACAAATTTACCAGTGAGATCAGCGAGCAGAGCACGACAGGGGCCCTGAGTCATATTATTAGCCACATCAAGAAGCCAGAACCCAAAGACATAGGCCACCACTGCACGAATTTTCTTGTCACCCCTATCCCCAAGCACCCATCCAATGTCCGCAGAAAAGCCGATAATGAGAACAGAAACAACTATGGAGGTGGCACCGCCGATGATGAAGGGGCGGCGGCGTCCAAGCTTGCTGGTGCAGCGATCGCTCATAAGACCCACTAAGGGCTGAACCAGAAGTCCTGATAGAGGGCCGCAGAGCCAAATAATACTGGACCATGCGTGCGGGACGCCCAGTTCCTGGACATAAGGGGTTAAAAGGGACAACTGAAGAGCCCATCCGAATTGAATTCCACATGCTACCGACGCCACTCGGAACAGAGTGCGTAACCTCACTTTGGGCGGCCTCCCTAAACCCGGCCCATGTTGCAATGGTCTTTTTTGTTTTGCTTTGTTCCTCTCCGTTTCCGGGATCATCATCAGAACCCAGAAATTGAGGGCGATGGCGATGGCGACGGCGATGGATACGGAGACGGCGATGCGAAATGGATAGTTAGTTGGCGTTGACAAGAAGGAAAATCAGCGTAAAGAAGGTGACAGTCTGATGAGGAGTTCGGCCGAATTTGGGAAGTACAGAGTAGCGAGGGTAACCGTTCGGGGGAGCGTGCTGGCTCAACTCACTCACTCACTCAGTCGGCCGCTGCTGCTATTGAAGATTCTGTCATGGTTTTACAGAACTGGTTTTACCACCTTGTCCCTGTAAAGTTCATTATCGTGTGCGGCTTGTTTGGCAAGTCATAATTTGCATGAATTGATTACTTTCTCCTTCCCATTAGACATCAATAGGTTAATCCTGCAATTAAATTATAAAATTTCTTTCCGCATTTTCACACTTCATAGGGGTCCTTAATCCAATCGAGATATCAAGTCTATTTATCACAAAATAAATAAATAAATAAATAGAAAGAAACGATCATAAGAATTCTTTTTCATCAAATCGTATAATAATCTTTGTATAATCATTCATGTGACCAATCAAACCAAACCAAATATGAAACGAAACAAGCAAACGATGTGCGAATATGCTACAACGTTTGTTTGCATCGAATAATAGGGATCTTTAAACTCGGATTATCGACCATCAAAGTTGCTAGTCAATCTACAATTGTATCTTTTAATGAGTGGAAGGTTGGATTATTTACCTCAATTACGATGTTTATGCAAAATGGATAACTACCCAACTCTCTATTCATTGAAAATTTAGATTTTTATTGTTTTTGGTCGATGGAGTTGAAGCTTGGGATTTTCTTAAACGAGTATTTGAAAGTGACTTGAAAGTAACTTTACATATGGGATAAGAACATCTCAACGTCTTTTGACAGTGGAGGATAAAAGGCAGAACTAATTGAATTTTTTATTCAGGTGCCTCCATGATTGCCCATATAGAGAAATAGTACCACTTTAGACACAATCATACATATGTAGCTACTATTGATTTTTAAGAAATATCCTGTCATATCGTCGTAATTCCAAAGAAGTCGTGCTTTCAATTAGTTCTCAACAGGTGGTGCCGAGTTCATCTGATATAACTAGCAGAAATGCATTGAGCTTCTGAACAAGCATGGGCGGTTGACGATAAAAATCGAGTAAACAAATTCCTTTCATCTAGTCAGGGTTTTTACCTCTCAAATTCAGTAGTTTTAATGCTCAATCGGAGTACGAGGGAAAATAACTATTTACGAGGGAGATATTTAAATTTGCACATTTTATATGTATTTATAGATTTCCGTGAAGGCTTTTGGTGTATTTCAATCATTTAGAACAAATGACAAATGGCGATAGAGTTGGGCAAAACTTTCGAATCAAACCGAACTCGACTATTCTTTTCAAATTAAATATCCGAATGAGTATTTTAATCGAGAACCGACGAACTGAAAACCAAATCTTCTTAATTTTTTCTATATTGAATAAATCAAATTATTTTAATTTTTTCTAAACAAATTAACTAATTAGATGATTGATTGATAATCCATCTCTCAAGTCCTAACTGAGTTAGCTTGAACCAACTCAACCAATTTCTAAATTCAATTTTTTGGCCCAATTATATGTTTCATTTCTAATTTTTTTAATATTAGTATCTACTTTTTGGTATGGATCGCCATTATTTTAGTATTAGTATTTAATTTTTGATATTTGTACATGTTGGTAAATTAATTTTATTGGACAACTTGTTATTTATATGTTTTTGAATTGGATTTCTTTAATTTGTAAAAGCTATGATTAAATATGTTATTAGTTGTATTTATGTAGTATTGTTGTAAATGTTAAAAAATGTAATTATGGTACGGAATTGAACCGATCCGAACCGGACCGAACGGAACGGAACTCGAACGGTTTCACTTACTAAATACCCGAAATTTTCGGTTCAGTCCAATTCTAAAGAGAACCGAACCGGACTATGCCCAGCCCTAGATGACGACACTAGCTAATCTATTAGAGTGTCACATTCCTTCCAATGCTAATTTGACCTCAAAAATTGCTAGGACCATGTTATCAATAGATCTTCAATCACGTTCCTGCCAACCTATATGTAACCTAAAGAAAACTGAATCGAACCGGACTGTGCCCAGCCCTAGATGGCGACCCCTTGTTGACTAGCTAATCTATTAGAGTGTCACATTCCTGCCAATGCTAATTTGACCTCAAAAATTGCTAGAACCATGTTATCAATAGATCTTCAATCACGTTCCTGCCAACCTATATGCAACCTACACGTTTGGACATCATTAGGGTTCTCCTTGACTTTCATTGGAGCCAATCAAAGTCAACTTGACTATTTGTATGGTGAAGAGAGAATGAAAGACACTCTCAATACAGAGTCTGAGTAGATATAAACTTCTGCTTTAAGCCACTTGTTAAATGAAAATTTCTTAACTACACTAATGCAAAAAATAAAAATAAAAAGACAAAATGGATTGGATTTCCACTTGCAAGGAAGGAAGGGGTATCAAAATTACCAAGCCAAGAAAAAAGGGTTGTGATCGCTGTCACGTAGATAGTCAAGTAAATTGTCATTACAAAATATATAGGGAGTAGGGTATGAGAGACACGAGTGGAGATTTGATTAGATTTGATCCATAGTCGGTACGAAGACCAAAGGGATAGATTTTACTGGTATTGATGATGAAATTTGTTTCCATTGCCCAAAAAAAATTCAAGAAAATCATCTATCTTTTGGTATTCGTTTGGCTTTATTTTACATAAAAGTTATCAATTAAAGAGAAATATTTTTTTACAATAATTCTTAGAATTTATTTCAATTACCAACAAAAAAAAAAGAAAAAAAATGACAGATCAGCCTAAAAAACCAATTCCCACGATACTAGTGGGAATTGGTTTTCAAGGAAAACCAAGAAAATGTAGCAAATCAAGAAAACCAAAAAAGGGAATTCCATGGAAAAAATTTGTTATCAAACATGACAAAAAGTGAAAGTTGGAAAACAAATTTCATTTTCCATGGAATTGGATGCCTATCAAACAAGAGTAAATGAAGTAGTGTTTGTTGGACTTTGACTCCTAAATTGATGCAACGGTGCTTATTTAGAGTAAATGAAGTAGTGTTTGCTTTGACTCGTAAATTGATGAAACCGATGCTTATTTAGAGTAAATGAGGTAGTGTTTGTTGGATTTTGGCTTGTAAATTGATGAAACCGATGCATATTTAGAGTAACTGAAATAGGATTTTGTTGGATTTTGATCCTAAAGTCATGAACTTGATGTTTATTTGGAGTAAATGTACTCGTTTTGTTAGATTTTGACATGTAAAATGATGACACTAATGCTTCGCTAGAGCAAATGAAGTACTATTTTGTTGATTTTGGCTTGCAAAGTGACGTTTAGTCACAAAATTAATGTAATGTTAATTTAGTTAATAGCAATAATTGATGTAAATTTGAGTGATTGGTTTGACGGGAAATGACTTTCAACAACCAAGTCATTGGTTGAACCCACCCAATGAACTGAAGCTTCAGCCAAGTCAATTACCAGGTCAGGTCCTACAACTATGATTTCAACCTCCTCCCTCCACCTTGTACATGTAGCGCCCACGGGGCAGTGGCAACGATTTAGAGGCCTTTTTGTAGGAAGAATGCCTAAAATTTTCCACACACACACCAAAAAAAAAAATGATTTTCTTTGGGATATTTAGCTCCACGAAAATTTCTATCATCCATAAAAAATTTTCAATTGGCGTCCGAGATCATGGATTAAACCGTCTTGACAAGATGACAGCCGAACTTACACCAAATAAATATATTTTTGCTCAAAATGAGACATTGAGACATCTTCAGCTCCTTTGAAGCTGGAGGGTGTTGACAAATTGAGTTCACTATCAATAGGAAGAAACCTATTTCTTATCAACTGAATATCGAATCACCATTCTGAGTGATAATCCTTCATCGTAATCCTTTTTGAAAAGAAGTATCACCGTTATGGGCCATGAGCATAAATGGCCAGCAAGGAAAATATCTATAACAAAGGCTAAGAGCAAGTTTAGATTCGAAAGATCCTCCAACATTTTTGTACTGTGTACTCGCACCATGTATTCTCTCTCATGCTTGCAGTTCAATTGATTTGGCTACGAGTTGAAATTTTGCCTCCGTGTGTGTGTAACCTATTTTACCTGCACGCACGCCACTTTTTAGCTATATTCCATACTTTGCTTCTTCGAACTTAGCTTAAAATAAGAACACTAAAGTTGGTTCTTCTTTTATGCCCATCGTGAGACTCTACATATTGCTCATTGTGTTATTTCTAGAGTTTGACGTTACTTATTCGAAACCAATCCGACGGAATCACTTGAATATAAAGAAATGATCAACATGATCCAAAAAGTAATTCGAGCCAACCGACTTCACGATGTTTTCTTAAAACGAATTTGCTGCCTCCAATGGTGCTAAAAGCGTCCAGCAATCGTTTTTCAAGATATAACGAATTTTTGTCTCCTACGGAAGCAGCACTACAATCTGCAGGAGTTCCAACGAACTCAACGAGGTGTGTTTTACTTCGAGACAATATCAGAACGAGAGAGAGAGGAATGAGATTCAAAGCACAGAAAGTTTGCAATGAAAATGATGTAGATTTTTTAGTAAAGAGGCAGGCTATTTATAGACTTGTTCGTGGTCATTCGAACAGTCATCACCTTTCAGACAAACCACAAAAATCCGAACAGACATGCTATTTTAAAAGTCGCGTATGTTAAGTCAGTTAACAGTCGACTATTTGCTCGGTAAACAGAGGACTGTTAAAAGAAAATAAAATACCCGGAATAAGTCAAAATTTAAATTTCATAATGTACCCAAGAATTTGATTATTTACAATTTGGCCCAAAAGTTTAAATAAATTTTGTCCAAAAGTTAATATAGTGTAAAGGTCCACCAGCGCCGAACCGGACTCGAGCACGTGCTCATGCTCGTGCCGTGCCGAGCCGGCCGGTCGGCGGCGCGCGTGCGTGTGGGTTTATGACCGAACCCAATAGGATATAAGTCTTCCCCCTTCTAAAGACTATTGGTACCCCTTGGGGCCCAAACTCAATTCCAAACTTCCACCTTATAAACCACACCAAAGTTTCCTAACTTTCCTATATGGGATAAGTGTTTGGAAAATCAAATTCTTCCATAATACTTAGTTTATGAGTTACTTTAACACTTAATATTTCATTCAATTTTAAATGATTTTCGACAAATAAATATATCACGTTAATCATTTCGAGGAGTAGAACGTGAATA